ATTATTGTCCACTAGCATGCTGAATATTTCAAGAATTTCTTAATTGTTAAAACATGCGCTCACACATACAGTCACACAGACACACATACACACACACACACACACACACACACACACACACGCACACACACACACACTTTGGGCACCCATCAGGGTCAGTTATTGTTGCTGGTTTCCTTTTTTGCTACTGTTGCCATTCTTGTGGGTCGTCATTTAATAATTCAAGTTTGTTGTTACTGTTATTGTAAGAAACCGTTTGCCGGCTGATTGTGTGTGTGTGTGCTTGTATTTTATTTAAAAAAACAATTTTCAAACAAACGACAATGCGAATGACAACCAAGTTTGGCCAGTAGTCGCAGAGTTCGGAGCGAGGTTACTGATGCCCTGTCCGGTGGCAGTAGTTGCCTAGGACACAGAACTCAGCATGTGCCACAAAGTACCAAACAAAAAACAGAACAAAAATCAGAAGCAAAGAGAAACAGTAGATGAAGCATAAGCAACAGAACGCAACGCGAAAAATAACCCAAAAATATAATAAAAAGAAATTGAACAATAAAATACAACAATTTATGGCGTACAGCAATCCTTTTTGGTGGCACTTTACGGCAGTCTGGGAGCAGGCCAGAAGCAGCCGGGGGAAACCAAAAGTCGCACAAAGTGAAAGAGAAAGGGAAGGGCCAGTGGACATGCCGGATAAGGCGGTAACATTGTTTGCGGGCAAAGGAGGTTCAAGCGGCAAGTGGGCGTGCCAGCATGGCCAGCAAATCGTCATTGGAAACTGAACAAAATGTTTAGTATTTGTGCTTCTATTTATTTTATTTTATTTTTATTTTTCCTTTTTTCTTTTTTGCTGTGTATTTATTTATTATTGCCGAGGTTTGGCTGCCTTTCGCGCTCTATTTATTTATGTGTTTGTTAGCGTTGGAAGCGATTTCCGAACCGATATTGAATTAAAACTAAACAACGCACGATATGTTGTATAAAATATTAAGATGATATACAACCTCCATTAAGCTATAAAGATTTCAAGATATTTTATTGTTGCTAAAAAAACTGGAGACAGCTGGCTATATATTGCAATAGCACAAGATAACTTGGACATTTTTTAGTCCAAATGTATTCTCAGGAAATCTGCATCAATCATACAAATGAGTGTTTTAGTTGAAATCTAAGATCAATCAAGCTATGAAAAATTCGTATGAGATAAAGAACGATTAAAAAAACCCAATAAATCAGCTTTCCAAAGATAATTCAATTTATGGAAGAATGTTTTTTTTTATCAAACTACATTCAAGTTGTTTTTTTTTTTTACAAGATTTTTATCTCTGAACGCATTTGTATTCCGTTGTAGAAACTGAAACATTTTCAATGGTTAGTTTTACGCTTGCCTCGCGTATCATTCGACTTTAGTTTTGCTTCGATTTTTGGGGCGTTTCATTGTTTTATTGTGTAAACTAATGGCCTTTTGCAGAGTGCTGGCAGCAACTTTTGTTAAACATTTGTTAGCAAAGCCAGTTTAATTTCTGCTGACAGCAATATGATTTAGGAAAGACGCACGTTTCAGGCAGCCAACTGCTGTTGATTTTGTTTCTGCCAAGGACATTGCCGCTGTTAAAACTTTATTTCATTTAATTGAAATTTTATGTAAAACATGCATTTCGTTTGATGCATAGTTTTTTGTTCTTTTTTTCCCCATGTCGCTCGTGGCAGCACCCAGAAATGTAAAATGCAAAATATATTTGCAAATTTTATGAGCGTTTGAGTTATATGGTCTTGGGGCATGGAATGTGAGCATGTATGGGTGTACTAGTATTACTGTTTGACCTTTGCCAAAATGAGATAAATTTCATGATTTTTCAATGTCTGAACTTTTGCCCACAGTGCACAAATAAATTATACGGCCAAGGGGCCGGCGAACGATAACAGACGATTTTTTATTGCAGCTGAACTCGCTCCGCACTTTTATCTTTAACTGGACGAATAAAATGAAATGAAATGAAACGAAATGCTTGACTTTTACCAAAATGCACGAAGATAAGCACAATGTTGTGCGCAGATACCCTATAGGCAACTTATAAAAGGGTATGCACACAAAGCTTATGTAAAGCAATTACAATTTTTTAATTTATTGTTCTGAAATAATATTTTATTTTTTTTTTGGTCAAAGTTTAACTCAATTTTATTTTTAAAGTTGTACAGAATATATTGAAGCGCAGAAAGCTGGAAAATGTCAGCCGAACTTGGGTTTTGCTTTGTTTTTAACAAATTGACAGACCAACTCTGCGCACATATCTGTGCTAACAGGATGGAACACCCAGACAGACGGACAGACAGGCAGACGGGCAGACAAGCAGACAGAACGTAGAAGCGACAGCTGCAGGATGTGGATGTGTGACTGAAGTGTTTGTTGAGTGTGTGTTTCAAGTGCAATCAGCACAATACCAACAACATCAACAGCATAAACAGCAACTACATCCACATCAACAATAACCATCAGGAAAAACAACACTATGGTAAAGGAATTGAAGTTCCAGGAAGTGTTTCAGCGTTGATGGCTGTTGAGAAGTCTTCCACATGCACGCAGACAACGGTAAGAGCACTTCTTAAGGCTGAATCCACGTGAGAAGGCGTATAGGCGTGGTCCAAGGTATGCAGATAAGCTGTTAATTATCTAAATTCTTTTCTTAATGATGATAAACTTTAAGTTATAATCCTATTAACAACAAAGATATAATTACTCAATTAAAAAATTAAATTACTGAAACGCAGCTTACCTTTGACAATGAGACATTATGAGGCAAAGGCTTAGTTTTAGTTTTTATGTATTTATCTTTATTTTTTATTTTTTATATTTTATTTTGTTTGTTTTTTCTCTGGCCACTTATGACATTTATTCATAATACACTTACGAATTTGTATTTTTGGTTATTATCCACAACGTTTTATGTTAATTTTATTTTATGTCTTACACATAATCATACAATGCTTTTGCACTTTAATCATACAAATATTTACAAGGGTAATACGCTGTTCACTCAACCAGAAACTGTTTGGCTTTTGCTGAGTTCAGCTACATACATACACATATACATATATATATATATATTTTTTGAAATTTACTTTGGGAGTACAGTTAGGTTTATTAATGGTATCATTATCTTTAGTTTAGTAGTTGTAATCAGTAAATGTATTTTGTTTATGTGGCAAATTTTACAACTGGCTCCAGCTTCTGCTGTTGCTTGCCTGCTAGTCAGTAAAAATGATTTAAATATTCGTTAATAGGTTAGTTGTTTTTGTTCTCAGTAGTTCTGTTGTGTTGTGTTGTTCTGTAAACCTTTTCCCTTTAGCTATTTAATAATCATAGTATTTATAATAATATAAATATATAATTAAATTTTTGATCACATGTGTTTTTGTTTTGTTCTAACTTCACTTGGTTTCACCCCGTTTAATCTTTAAATATGTTTTGATATTTTTGTTAAACAAAAAAATATGCTCTTTTTGTTTATTTTATATTCTGTTGGGTGGACTGCGCAGTTCAAATCCCCCTTGACCTAAAGCAAACAATCGAAGCTTTGTTCGCATTTTATTTGAAAATTAGTTGTGAAGTTCTTTTTATTTAACTCAATAATTACAAAAATAATATTCTTTGTTCGTTTGTATATATTTATGAAATATGCTTTATTCATTAAATGGTTCTGGCATAAAACATTGACTATTTTGTTCAATTTTGTCAGCATTTATTTAACGTCAGCGGATAGTATTTGCTTTACAATCCTTTTATAATGTGTTTTAAATGTTTCAAACTGGATTCTGAACTTATTTGTAATGTTTTTTTTTATATATATTTTATTTAATTATTTTTTTTTTTTTGGTTTTGGCGGGTTGATTTTGTTTTGGATTTATTAATTATACAATATGTAGTTCACTTTATTCGAATATATTGATTAAAAATTATTATTGAATTCTTACAAATTGCCAAATGATGCAAAACGTGCTTATGTGGAATTCGTTCATGTGTGTGTGTGGTGTGTGCAAAAACCTCTGGCTAATTATTGTTTAATTTTAATTAACTAATTAAAAGTACTATTTGAAACATTTCGGTTAGGTTCATAACGAAATTAAAATTGTGTAATCAAATAACGCTTTCATTTAATCTGCACATTTAATGAATCCGCTAATGACTAATGAAGTGCGCAGCTTTTCGTTTTTAGCCCAACAACTGCACTCATTAACCCTCAGCTTAGCAGAGTTCTGGTTACGCTTTAAGTACCATAAGGTCAAATTATGTATAATACTCGTATTCAAAAATGCCCAAAAGCCTATTTTATTAAATAAAATTGAAACGGTCTCTTTAATTGCCACATACATTTTTGCTTTCGTATAGGCATATTGTTAATATTTATTCAATATATATATATATGTATAACTCTAACTTTTTCATAGAAAAAATACGCAATGAAATATTCTTTATACTTGTAGCCTGTAACAGGACATTTTTTATTCGATCTTTTAGAGGCTTAGTGTGTTTCACTTTTCCTATTACTTTGTTTATTAAGCCAGCTTTTCATTTTTTCTTTTCTTTGTATATTTTTTGTTTGTGGTTTGTTGTACGCTTTTGCTTTATGCTCTCTTTTGCTTTTGTCTGATTTTAGCTATTTTTTGTTGCATTCTTTTTGCGGATCCTTGCCTTACTAAGTGCTAAAGATGAAAATAAACATGACAATGATATTTACACAATGTCGGCTAAGCTATGGTAACCTCAGTGTTGGAGTGGTTGCCAAGACATGGGGAATGAGGATATGGTGGGTGGGCATGTGTTTGTGTCTCTGTGTGTGTGTCTGTGTGTGTGTGTGTGAGGCCCCTATGCCACTTTGTATTTGTTTATGTGCACGGCCAGCTGCACACAATGTTGCCAGGCAGCAGCTGCTACGTGGAGTCTGAGCGATTGAAGCGAAGTACATGTGTGTATATGCACGTGTGTGTATGTATTATGACACACACACTTGAACACACACAGATACATTCACTATAAAAACAAATGGTCGCATGTAACGACGAAAAAACTTTGTCAATTAACCTAAAACAAGTTTCACTTTACAACACGTACGCTTGACATAATTTCTTCTCTCTTCGCTGGGCTCTGACAATGGTGTGTGTGTGTGTGTGTGTGTGTGTGTAGGGGTTGTGCATCTGTGTTTTGAGTGTTGTCTGAAACTTTACATATGAAGAAATTATCACGTTCTTGGTCCTTGATAGCGACAGTAGGATCTGCCCATAATGTCCTCAGCTGGAATTGACTGATCAATCGGTTGCACTCGCAATAATTCCATTTGATCACGCACCTGCAATGAATTGCAAATAAAACACACACAACTATTAAATATTTGTCCAACTTATCTGTGGCTGTGTCACGCGACGTATGCGCAATATAAATAGACTTTGATTACGTTTGCCAACAGCTGCGCTTGCAACTAATTTAAATTGATTGCATATGCGAAGAACTTTCCCATTTCACATTTGCCACATCTTAAGTTTTCTGCTGTGCAAAGTGCAAATGGATAAAGTTTTTGTTTAATAGTCAAATGGAATTTCTATTGATTTTAAGTTTCAAATGAACTAAGCGTTCTTAATGACTTTTGCGTTCTGCTTCTAATTTGGATAGTAGATATTAAATTTCAAACACATTGATATTTGAGTTGCATTAGTTTAAGAAATTCAATTTGAAGCAATTTTCTTATATTTTCAAAGGCAGTCTGCAGGTCAAAATAATTCTTTTATTTTTGTGTTATAAGTTAAAACACATATTTTATTGCTTTCTGTTTATTAGTAGAATTTTTTGAATTTTCTCTTTATATCAATTTTAAGTAAATTTCAATTTAAAGCATTAACTTCGATTTTCGTTTGTAAATTTTTTTAGCATTAAGAAATTTTATTACTCTCTTAAAAAGTTAGTGTTAAAGATTCGAGTGGAAAGTTACTTAAAAAATTCAAAATTTGTATGTGGATTGTAGATTTTAATGGTAAAATTATCACACACCCCAAAAAGCCTGTTTGTTACAAATTAATTACCTACGTCTGTGCTTTCAGTTACTTAGAAAGCAATCATATTGCCATTAAATTATTCACATGCAAATTCAGAATTATAAAGCCATTCAGCGGGCATATTGGCAACGCATAACAACGAGTCCTTAAAGGCCATCTAAGCCAGCACTGGAGCTATTTCTATCCTTTTGCGTATTGTTTGGGGAACTTAGTGTGTGCTTTGCACAAAGTTTGAAGCACATTTTATGCCGCACAACAAAACAAAAACAGAAAAAAAGAATAACCAAGCGAAGCAAGAGGCACAATAAAAAAAGTATATATGCAAAAACAAAAAAAAAAAAAAGCAAATTCAAAAAATACAAACACAACAAAAAAAAAATGTTTTGTTTTCAACACCAAACACCTTTTGAGGCCGCACAGAGGGGAACTGGGAAGAGGGGGAGTCTGTGGCAGCCGCTTTGGGTATGGTTAGGGCGGACACGCAAAGGCAGCTCGCTCGGCCCATTTCCGGTGCTTTGTTTGCCATATAACAATCGAATTTACGACTTTTTTATGAGACTTTATGTACCAGCGTAGACTGCCACACACAAACAACAATAAAACGTCAGCTGCGGGTCGGTCTGTGAGCCGCAGTCATTGCACTTTTGGCCACGCCCACGCCCACGCCCAAGCTAGCGCCCACATCCCATGCCAACAAGTTCTTTGTGGGATTTGCCTTTGGGTACGCTTTTCCGGCCGCTTTGAGTTGCAGAAATGAAAAGCACAATTCACAGTTACATTTGAGTGAAAAGTTCAAAGCGAAAAATGGCTGCTAAAGAGCTGCGCCATTTTCCATGCTAACCAAATCAATTGTAAGAAGGTCAGTCGCACACACACACACACACGCACACACACAAATACCCACACACACATACACGCACACACACACGCACATAGGGCGGCAGAAGGATATTTAAATGAATTTGTCCCGCACAAATTGCTGCCATTTGCAAAGGACTTTTGCCCAATGCCGCCACTTGGGCTATGTGTCGTGCCAAATGCCTTTCCATGCTCGCATTAGATACTCGCATAAAAGGCTAAAATAAAAGATACATTTGCACAAACACAAGCAACGACCTCAACAGCCTGAACTGCCTCAACTGCCTCCTGCTTTTTGTCTAGATAAAAACTGGCGTCAAGAAAATTATCATGTTCATGGCTATGGCTGCTGGCCCAATGGCCACCCTTAACTCCCCCCAGCAGCACACATACACCACACCACCCCACACCACACCACATCACCACCACCACCACCACACCCACCCATCCACCAGCACTCGTACGCCCAACCCTACTGCCATTTGTGGTTGTTGTTGGGTCGCATTGAAAAGGCGCCACACCATGAACTAAACTGAAGGCATTCCCATGAGCTGCCTCAAATCTCTATTGCCCTAATTTCGCTCATTTTTATAACTACGACACACTTATGGGCTAATGGCAGTGATTGCGAGTAACATAACATTTTCTGTACATCCAGTTTCTATTGAAATTAATAAAAAAAAAATTGGTATATAAAATATTGAAAATAACATTACGACAAACAAAAGAGACTATAAATAAATAAGATATTTCCTTCGAATATTATTTATAACAAAGCAATTATTTAAGAATGTATTTTTTTATTTTGTTATTTTTTGTTTGCACTACAAAAAAATGACTTGTCAAACGGAAGACTTTAAAACTCCTAAGAGATAGAGTGCCAAGCGATATATGAGCTGAACAATTAATTTGAAACACAAAACAGGAACACAAATTCGCAATCCTTGTCTGGGTGCGTGTGTAGCGTAAAAGGGTATAAAATTGGCATATGTATGCGTGTGTGTGTGTGTGTGTACAAGAGATGACAATCATTAAAATGGCCTTTTGCCTAATTTCTATGACTTGCTTAATTATCACAACGATGGCAACGCCCACAGCAGACACCAGACACCAACACAAATACAAATGCAAAAATACAAAACAACAAAAACAAAAACAACAACCAAAACAAATACAAAGACAAGTTGAGAGCTCCCTGTTGACCTACTGGTCTAATGTTTGGGGTCTGGCCATTCTCCAGGGAAAGGGCATTAAGCGTCTAATAATTGAACATTTGAACTGGTTTTTGTGTTCGTTTAATTGCATTACAGGCGACGCTGCTTGCGATAATATATATTTTATTGTATATTTGGGTCACTGACCTCGATAAATGGGGCTTGCATAAGAGTTGCTCTGATTTTTTATCAAGTCATGGCTTGAGGCTGAGACAAGACAAAAAAAAAAAAAAGAAACAAGAGAAAAAAATGAATAACAAGTGAAATAATAATGCGCTGAGCAATGTTTTTAATTACTTTGTGGCAGAGTTAACAAAAAAACTGGCAACAAGCAGCAACGTATTACAATGCGAGCACGATTTTTAATGAGCATATAATACCATATAATGAAAAGCAGTAAGAGCTGTAATATATATATATATATATATATATATACATATACATTTAATATTATATGCATGCCGTTTATATATATTATTTTTTCATCGCTGCTGAGTGCAAAATGCAATAAAAGCGTTGCGATTTTAATCACACGCTCTGCAAAAGTAGGCAACACTTTGTAATGCTTACACTCAAACAAACATCCACAGCCCAGGCTCATTGCCTTTCGCTTATACATTGCTAAGTAAGTAAGTATATAGAAATGAGCATTTTAATCACATAGAGGAGCCATTGTCGGGGTGTAGTTTACTTTTTGTTTAATGCACATAGAAAGGAAGCGCAGAGCCAAAACTAATTACAATGTTGCAGGCAGATAAGGCGTCCAACTCACGGAGACTCAGTGTGAGGGATTCAGAAACAGAGACAGAGTTACAGTCAACGACAACGACAACGAGATGGCAGCATCAGAGTACCAAAGAGAATATGATTAAAGTTCGCAGACTGAGAGACAAGCACAAAATTAAAAAATGCTGTGGCATCTCTTTATCGTGCAACGCAACTGGCGGGGGTTTTTATAATGAGCAAAAGCAATAAAATGTGCGCCACAGCAGTTAAGTTCAAGGGGCGTATGATTTATATTTGTTATTAAATCTTTAAATGACCATAGTCGCTCAGCTATGAACTGAACTCAGACATTTTAAATTAGTTTCTCAACTAAGGCAATTTTCAAAGGAAGGAGAACCGTCTGTTTGCTGGAAATGAGGTCGCTGAAAGAACATTAATCTACCCTTATTCTTTGGCATTAATGTTTTTACACTAAATATATTATATTAATTGAGCTAACCCATCCTAATGTCTGACAGAAAAGTAATTGATAAATGACTAAAATAATTTGTCACAGTCTTGGAGAAGTTCAAATTCTCGCATAAAAACACTGCCCAACTGAGCGTATTCGACATAAATTTGTTACAAATGAGCCACACACAAAAAATGCATATGCATGCTTGTTAGTCAGCAATGAGTGTCCTTTAGATCACAGTTGCACATGGAAATCTTTGGCTTGCCACATTTATCAACCCTGTTGGGCCAGTTGATGCAGTCAGTCGACTGCAAAACAAACCCACTTGGAATGCTTAGTTGAATGGTGCTAAGCTTGAGTGGCATTCGTGCTCAATGGAGTAAGTTCTAGCTCAAAGAGACTCTTATGCGCTTATAAAAAGAGCCAAAGATAGAGAGAGAGAGACAGAGAGCGAGAGCGAGAGAGAGAGAGAGAGAGAGAGAGAGAGCGTGAAGCAGACAAAATCGGTCAGTTAGACGTTGCATATTGATTGAAATTGAATGTTCGAGAAGCCGCCTCGCTTTAGTGACAGCAACAGTGCTTGGCAAAAGGAACAAATAGTAGTGGCTGCAGCCCTGCCGATTCTTGGTGTACAAGCAGACAGCAAACAAAGTGACCACATCCGCAAACAAACTGCACCAGCTTCAACTTGAGTTCCTGGACGACTACTGGCTGCTGGCTTTAGCTGCGGCAGTTGCTGTTCATGCCCATGTATAAATATCGGAATAACCATTTGAAAATCCTTTTAGAATTATTTTACGACTTGCGTCTTTTGGACGCCACAGCACAGTCCTGGTCATCGTTCTGCTCGTTCTTGGCCTGCTTTCTTTCCGAACGAAGTATGTGCAAATTCCATTGCAAAGCCACATTATTCTCTTTATCCTTTGAAAGGAATTTTCCCAAGTGCAATAACAAGCGAGCAAGAGAATGCGGCACCAACTACAGCTACTGCCACTGCCACTGCCACTGCCACTGCCACTGCCACAGCTGCTGCTGCTGCTGCCCATAGCAGTGGCAACTGGTTTATCTGGAGGCTGCTCAACAGTGGTTCAACTGGGATATTTTTTGTTGTCCTAGAAATGCGCTTTTGTTTAGGGACTTAGCCTTAATCTGCAGGTAGTTCCATACACAACTAGTCGATGCGAAACAGAAATTGTTGCCAATGTGCACAATGAACAATAGAATGCCAATGACCAAAAAACAGGAAACCCAAAAACAAAAAAAAAACCCTTGCATGTTTTACTGTGTGCATACTCACCGCCTCGACTTCTTTGAAGACGCGTATGAGATTCCTGCCGGCGAGCTTGGCAATATCTCCTTCCGACCATTTATCCGACTCCAGCAAAGCGGCAAAGAGATGTGGATATTTTGAAACATCCTCCAATCCTTTGGGCACCCTATTAAAATACCGAAATAATGCCAAAAATTAGATAATAAATGTAATCAAAAGATTAGATTAGTCTTGCAAGTAACAAGGACTTAATTCTTATGTGTAACAACTATACAAATATTAAGGCAACAAATTAACAGATATTTAAAGAGTTTGCTTGAGTTACACTTACAGATTGACGCCATCGTAGCCAGCGCCAATGCCGACATGATCGATGCCGGCCACATCCCGTATGTGGTTAATATGCGCTGCAAAATAGGCACAACAACAAATAAGTTAAGCTTTTAATGATATGTTGGCAATCTTTGCACCTACCCACAACATCGTGCAACGTCGCCTGGCCCGAGCAGCTGACAAAGTGCGGATAAAAGGCAACCATAACCAGTCCGCCATTAATGGCCTGCACATTAAAAAGAGCCGATTAAAATAAAATCAATATGCGATTTGCTTCATACTTACAATACGCTGCAGCACATGATCTGGCACATTGCGGGAACTGTTGCATATGGCATGCGCCGAGGAGTGCGAGAAGATGAGCGGTGCTCGGGAAGCGGCCAGTGCATCCAGCATTGTTGGCACCGACACATGCGATAGGTCGACAATCATGCCCAGGCGATTCATTTCCTTTACCACAAGCTGCAAGAGATATATTTAAATATTTAATAAATATTGAAAATAATAAAGTTACAATTGTTTCCCCCACACTTAAGTCAAACTTCAAACTCAGAAATGGCCTTCAGATAAAATTCTGCATACTCAAAGAAATATATAAATTGTAAATAAAAAAAAATAATTTCTTACTCAAAAAATATATGTTAATGAAAATAAATATAAAAAAAAATTGAATGCAATAAATTCACTTGCACCTATCGAATTCTAAAAACAAAATGTTTAATTAAAATTTATTTCAATCAAGCCAAAATTCAATAAAATTACGCTAAATGAAATTCAAACGTAGTCAAATAAAAAATATGCATTCATTTATTCATTTATAAACAAATATAAATGTGTTATTGGAAATTTGAAAGAGATGGTAAAAGTGAAAGGCTGCTTTTGTTTTGAAGTTTAAAAAAAGTTAATAGAAAACTTGAATATTTATAAAATCACAATTAAAATTATGCTTTATAGCTCACCTTGCCGAACTGCGAGAGTCCACCTATGTGTGGATATTTGCCCGGTTCGTCAACTTTGCAGCAGTCCGCCCTAAAAATGGTTAATCAAGTTAATTGCCCAGCTCAGAATTTGTGTGTCTTTCATTTACCATGGTGTGTTGCAGGTGTGTGTGAGCGTTAGATAGCGGGCCCCGAGTTGGTAGAACATGCGCAGAACACTCAGACTGGTGCCGATCGCATGTCCACCCTCGACGCCAATCAGGCTGGCGATTTTGCCGGTGCGATGGGTTTGCTCGATGCCCGCAGCCGTGTTCACCAGCGCCATGTGATGCGGATAGAGTTGGACGAGGCGGCGTATGAGATCGATTTGTTCGAGTGTCAGCTGCACTGCGTCCAGATGCTGTGAGGAGCATGGCGCGTAGGCGGACCAGAACTGTGCAGAGACCATGCCCTCCTTGAGGCGTCGCAGATCTGTGTGGCTCCAGGCGCTCGATGACCAGGGCGCCAGTTCGCGCAGATCGCTGCCAAAGTGAAAGTCTTTCAGCTGATTCTTGAGGAACTTTCGAATGTTCCACGGCAAATCGTTGTGGCCATCGATCAGAGGCACTTCCTTCAGCACATTTCGCACACGCTGCATGCGATAGTCGAAGTCCCCGCTCCCACCTCCCATCCCACTCGCGCTGCCGCCGGCGGCGCCGACAGCTGTGCATCTTAGGATGGGCAACACGAGCGGTATGTAGACAAGGGTCAAGCAGTTGAGGCCACAAACCTTGGGCAGCTTCCGCGATTTCATTGCCCCCAGGAGCAGCTAGCAGCTCAGCAAAAGCCAAGAAGCACTCACATTGATGATGTTTCTCGTTCCAACTGCCGGAGGAGATAGTGAACAAATGAATAAATAAAATCTGTATGTGCACGTCGACGAATTTATGGCCCTGCAAACCGGAATCCCTCCCATCAAAATTGAAATATTTATTAAAGCAAATAAGTGCGGTGCTTAAGATAAAGCACGTCGAAGATTACATACTCTTCGAAATATTATTATATTTTTGTACGAAACTTAACTTAGTTTTAGTCAGGATATTTAATTAAAATATATGTTTCTTTTAATACCACAATACATTTTTCCCCTTTATAATAAATTAATCTAACGTTGCCACAAGTAACCAAAGCAAAACGACGGATATAAACCAAGTGCATAAATATAGCTTCTCTTGCATGTTAAGACTATAAATTTCAGACAGACGTAAGAGCTGACAGATGCACATATTCTCTACAAGGATATAAGATCTATAAGTCACAATATATTTAAGTCATCATATTGTTTATACCCTTGACAACAAGACTAGTTTAACCTAGAAACAGAAAAACATTTTTATTGAAACTTCGCTTTTAATACCGATGAAGATAATCGGAGATGTCTTCAATGCTGCGTAATAAATTTGCTAACAAAATTTGACTAACCTCTATCAGGGTATTTTTAAACAAATATAGAAATCGAAATCCAAATTGGGGTACGATTTCATCAAGAAAATTGCATGTGATTTCTATTTGTTTGGCTGCGCCGATGGCGTGATTGAGCTATTGAAACTTGTTGGCAAACAAATGCCATAAATATAACGCCCAGGGGCTATTGCTACTCGGCTTTACTATGCTCGGCTTAGTCTGTGGCCCGAAACATAAATAAAACTTTTCATATTTATTTCAGAGCCAACTTCGATATCGAATGCATAAAAATGCACAATAAAAATGCTAAAATTATTTATAGGAAACTTTTTTGCCAGCAGATCAAATGCAAAAATACAAAAACGTTGAAAAAAAAAAGGCCAGCACTAAATTTAAATAGTTTCCACAGAGCCAAAAGTTCATACAGCGACACCAGCACAAGTCTGCCAGACAGAGACACAAAAAGTTTATACCAAAAATTTTGAGGGGTTTGCTTTTCGCTTCTTTTTCCCCAGAAAGTTTTTCGACTAGCTGAGTTGCAGGTGGGTAGGGAAGAAGCAACAGCAAAAGACGCTAAATGTTGAAAGGAAATTGAAGTCAGCTTTGCAAGTGGCATATGACTAAGCTGCTGTGGAGGGTATTGACCGACCCAACATATGGCAGCCACTCCCCAACTCTGTTTTTTTTTTGTATCTTTTCTGCATTTAATTTTCAGAATTTTCTTCGCAAAAGTCAAATTGAAGTTTGTCAACTAAACTGAACTAAACTAGTCTAACAGTTTTTAAGGCATAAGTCGGCTCCTTTGAAGGAATGTGTACACTACAAGGCAAATACAAGCCTAAGCAATTGTATTTGTGTCCTGTGTGCCAAAATATTCTACTCGCTTTGCTTTCGATGCATCATCAATTTATTAGTTTTTGTATAAATCAAAATAATATTTGTGTTGTTTTTGACTGAAGTGCAGACGTCAGTGGCCATTAAAATATTAAATAAATATTTAATACCTTTAAAGTACTTGCAAAATTTATTATTTATTTATTATGTATTTTGAGCGAGATTTCAATGAATCTTTAAGGAAGTTGCGAAGTTTAAGACCGCTTTAAAAGTGAAATATGGAAGTTTTCCATTGATTTTGAATTGTTTGTTTGTTATTACTAAACTGCGCTTATCAAAGCTCTTCATTATGAAACACAATGGACAATGGACTCTTGAAATTTAAATGAGAAAAATCTGTGCCATTTTTACTTAACAACCCATTAGGCCTTCGAATATTGCTTGTTTGCCTCTGAAAAATGGTATTTATTTATTTTGAAATGCTCAAAAAGATTTGTTTTCAAATGTCATATGTCCTTCAATGTAATCATGAAATTGTTCTTGTTATTTTTTGTTTTTTGTTTTTCCTATTAAATGGAAACTTGTCCTAAGCAAAGATCAATTTTCATTCAGATAGTTGTTGCAAGTGTAATTTTAACATATTTATGATTGTACAGCTAAAAATGGCAATAGAAACCTTAAAAATCCAATTTTGTTGGCATGTATATTCTCAAGAATTGACATTCAAAACAATTTATTTGTGTTTTTATTTCTCGGCAATCCGGTATATATTTAATTTTTTTTTGTTGAAGTTCTCTTTATTTGCACAAACTTCGTCAGGCAACCGACTGATATGCATTTTGTAGAGCATGCAAAGAGATGGAAAAGCATGGAGCATTGTGTGCAGGGAAGCGGAAAAGGGGAAACACGAATTCGTATGTTGATTTTCATGGTCTGCTGCTTGGGCACAAAATGAAAACATTCCACTCTACAAACTTTTTGGTAAAATATCTTATCTGCTCTGTTTGCCTTACCATCCTTGTGCTTCTGCTTCTGCTTCACATTCGTATTTTTTTGTTTCAAAAACACTTTAAGGCATCATTTTTTTTGTTTTTTTTTTTTGTAGCTGCTAGTCAAAAATCTTTAGCATTTCTCCTTAGCCAAAATGGTGCAGAAAAATTGACAAAACCGATAAGGAGGAGTTTAACAGCAGGAACTGGAACAAAATTGACAAGGACAACGACAGCTCGCTGTGAAATTCTCGTCAGGCGAAACGTGACACAGTCGAAACGCACGAATTATAAATACAACAACAAAACATTGGCACGCAAAGAGCCTAAATGAGCGCCTATTGGGTTAACAACAGCAACAACAATAGCAGAAACAGAAACAGCAACAGCAACATTGAGTGCCAAACAAACAACAAGCGAGTGCAAAATCGAAAACGTCCAACGCTTCGTTAAACATTTATGTATGTCAGTGACAGGAACCTGAGAATCTAACATTTGATCTTTAATTAAATTGTCCTACTGCTGACAATTTGTCTTTTCTTTTTAGCAATGCCAGAAAGGGGCTCGGAAAGGCTTTGGCAAAACAGAAATGGACAAACAAAACAAGTTGCATTAATGTAATGCTATGAATACTTATTTCCACTTAAGTAGTATTATTTATTTATTTGTTATTTCAGTTTTTCAAAGGCCATCCATCAACTTATTGGAGAACCTGGCTTGCCCATCAATTCAAACTAATTTATTGGAGCGTTGAAATCAAAGATTGTGCAAGTCAGATTCAAACTTCAATTTATTTATTGCGAACTTCAAGAAATACACAAAACAATAATTCACCATAAATTTAATAAATTGTATATTGAGCTAGTTTAAGGAATTTATTTTATATCGATATTCTACTAACTAATTTGTGGATTCAATTAAACATATTTATTTATTATATATAAATTTTGCTTAACAAAGTAATTGTATTAAAACAAGTTACTTATAGACTTATTCCTTGGGCCTGCCTACAATGCTAAGTAGTCTCAAATGATATTTATGATAGAATTACACAAGAATTATGAATCGTCCAATATACTTCAGAATTATGCATTTCTTATTAACTCAAGGGAACCGAGTACAATACAATTTTGGTATCTTTACAGCTGGTAAGTGGGCAGCAAAAACCCTCACGCGCCCTTGTAGAGAAACACACACTTATTCATACACAGATGCAGTCCCACTTGCTGGAAGGCAGACGAAATGGGCGCAAGGATAACTGCGTACAACATTGCGTATGCGCGTTGCCTTTACGAATGCGAATGGGAATGTCATGCTGCTACAGAGGTTGGGAAGTCGGTTGGGCTGGGGTGGGTTGGCATGCGGGGAGTCGTACATTTATTGCGACATATAAAACATTATTTTGCATGGCCTCAAAAAGGCACAGCGCATAACGAAATAAGCACCAAAAAGCTGAAAGCGGAGCGCAAGGAAATGCGACGTCGTCGCTCATGTCGCTAGCTGTAACTGCAACTGCAACTGCGACTGCGATGTCTGCTGGCTGCAGTTGGTAAAAAAAAATAATAATAATAAAAAAAAAACATTTCTTTCGACATTTGCGTGGCATTTAAGGAAGTAGCTGGCGCTGCCAGCGAGTCGCCCGAAAGGGACTTTCAGAGTCAGTGCCAGCAACGTCCCGATTCGCGATTTTGTCCTGCCTCATTTCCATGCGCACAGTGAAGGCAAAGAAACATGCCGTAAACTACAGCAGACAATCAAAATGCATTCATGTGCGCTTATTTAACGTTATTTATAATCAAGCCGCCTTCCTCCCGCTCCCCTTGACTCCTGCTTGTTGCTTCCTTTTGCATTTGCTCTTCCCCTCTTACATTTGCATTGCTGCATTCATTCGCTGGCATTCATTCGCCACCAAATTGCATTCAATACGAATAGTTGCCAGCCATAAGTCGCACAGAGTTTCTATTCGCTTACAAATTGAACGTCTTGAATTCACACAGTCGAGCAGTCTCGTCCTGTGGTCCTGCCAGACAAAATGTTCGGCATGTACATGCAAAAATTTGCTGGCTTCAATGAATGGCAATAATAATAATAATAATAATAATAATACAGCATAGAACTTGACGTTCGGCATGAAGCGCTTTATCCAAATGCCTTAAGGACCGACATCGTCCGACGACTAACAATCATTTTCCATTTTAATAAGCATCATCAAATATTTAAGCAAAAGGCATTGTGTAAGCCAGGCAGCTTGAACTGATTTTTGAATAGACAAACTCAGCTTGAGCCGGGGATATTTATTTTACCATTTCCATATCCTGAGAACTTTAAACATTAAGTACATTATTCAAGGCACAAAAATATTATTTGATATAAGAAGTTCTTGTCCTGAAACTAAATATATCATTTATTTAAATCTTACAGCAGGTCTTAAATAATTAAATTATAAGTATTTTCGTATACTAATTTTTCTCTTTTTAAATAATTATTTTTTTGTATTTCGATCTGCATCTTTTGATCGTATTTATTTCGAATAGCGATTTGTGATATTATTAAGAATAATGAAGTTTCCTAGCTTTGAATAACTAATAAATATATATTTCTTTTATTACTTTCTGACCTATAAGGAAGTATCATAAACATTATATTATTTATGCGTTTATATTAAATCCAGCTGCAAGTTGAGAATGATTCATAAATAGCTTCAGTTAAAAACAAATCATATTTTTTGCGTGTTTCATGAAAAAAACTTAATCAATTGCAATCAAACGGAATTTTTTACCCTTTCCCCAAACACAATTTCCATAAGCGATAAATTCAAATGCCACTTGCAATGCGAACGCATAAGCGACATGAAAGAAACATATGGCATAAATTAATTTATAATAAAACCGAGCAGAAATTTGGAAAGTGTGCAAAGTTAAGTAAAAACACACACACAGCACACCACCTGAGGTTGATTGGTGTGTGTTTCTCTTTCTATATGATTTGCCTATTTCTTTGGTGTTTTGTGGAATTTCATTTAATTTTTGTTCGGGCTAAACACACGTTGTGCTGTACAAATACAAGCACACATAAACAAACAAAAGAGAGCAATCAGGGGAAAATGGGGAGGGGATGGGGAGGAAGGCATGCGTGCGTAAGAATGAATGGAAATTATTTTACAACATTTTCATGTTTCTGCTGTTTGTTTGATTTGCCTTCTTCGTTCTTCGCAGTTGCCTTCTCAGTTTGTCCCTTTTTGTTTGCTGTTATTTGCTTATTTTCATTTTTTCCTTTAGTATGCATAATTTATGCACGAGTTGAAAGGCAATTCATAACAACAACTAAAAGGCTTAAGTGCTTTCCCTCTTCTCCTCGGCACTCGCCTAATATGAAAACTATGCTTTAAACCAGCCACAAATAGACAATTTTTAATTCGATTTCCTGAAGCAACTCAATACACACAAAAACAAACAAACAAATTTTAATTCTATCAACAAATTATTGCATTATTTAATTGTTATTTGTGTTTCCTGAGAATTTTTAATTCATTTGACTAATTGATTGATTTTTTGTTATTGATATTAATACGCAGTTGTTGGTTTTTTAATTAACTTATTCGTTAATGTTATTTGGTCTGTATTTCGTTTGATTGCGTTAAATCAAATTATATTTTTCAATTGATTTATCTAATTAATTTGATTGTGTGTGTTTAAATATCAAATTAACTGATGTGGGATATTTACTTAGCAAGATAAATACAAGACTTGTAGCAATTCCTTTAAATTCCTGCGAAAACACTTTTTATTAATCACATTTAAGAATTAAGCGCAATCGATTTTTTCACTTTGTACAATGGGCATTAACGAATAATACTGCATTTAAATGTATATTTTTCATTCAATAAATTATTTTTGTAAAGCTAGCTTATTGAATAAGACTTTAAGCAAACTTTAGCTCGAAATTCTGTATTCGAAAAAATATAATTTGCTTAAAGTAACATTTTGTAATGATTATTTTAAATTTTCAATTTAATATATATAATTTATAACTGACTTTTAGCACATTTCAATCAAGTAGCTGTATCAGTGTATATAATGCCTTTAAACTTAATTAAGGCAGCACATAAGCCAAACAATTTCTGCATGAATAATGTAAGGATATTTAAATATTTAAACTGTAATCCATTTGCAGTCGGCACTAACTAACTAACGGCATCAACCTTAAAAGCCATCCTTAATAGTCCCTGGGGAACTGAGCAACAATGTTTTGAATTTGAGTCCCCGTCTAGACAGTTTACGGTATTCTGCCTAAGCCAAAGCCAAATACCAATATAACCATGTTAAATACAATAATACAATGAAAACAAAAGACGCATGAACAAAAAGGAACTACTTATGAATGAGGGATTGTTATTTGCCCAAAACAATAAAGTGTGTGTCGCACAATTCAAATGAAACACAAGAGGCCACAGCTCAAGCACCGTCCAGAGACATAACGATCACAACTCATAAGCACCTGGTGAAAAGGTAACAATCATTTTATGAATGCCTCAACAAAAGCAGCACAGAGGGTGGTTTGTGGAGGGGGGACGGGGGTTGCGGATAAGCAGAAAAAGCTGAACGCAAAGCAAGTTCAAAGCAAATTGTTGCGGAAGGCAAAAATCAACATTATCATCAAGAAGAGCAGCCAAAGGATACTCATTTCAACAAATGCACAAGCCAAGAAAGGTTCACACACATATTAAATGGCATTGTGCTTTGGGTATGGGAAAAATGTGTTGCAGGATGGGTGTGGATGGGTCTGGTTGGGGTGGGCAGCAGCGACTGACTTGACAACGCACAGCATTCGCTTGTCGCCTGCTGCATATTAATGAAGTGCCGTGCCTGCCACAGGCAGCGACAGTCAAGAACTATGTGGTGGGCAGGGGGGTAGGGAGGGGTAGGGATCTAAGGGAAGCAAGTTCGGACTGTTGGCTGCTAGAAGGACTCATCAATTTCTCAATATTACGCATTTTGGCTGCCAAAGAAATCTGCATATGAACAGCAAGGGTGCCAGAATGTGCCACATAAATACACACACAGACACACATTCATATATATAGATATATATGCATATATATGTATATATACGCCTTTATATATTTTCTAAGCATTTATGGGCGTTTGTGCTTACCAAAATTGTGCAAGCCGTTTAGCATGCTCTCCTCCTTGTAGCTAGTGCTTTGAGCACTTACTTTAATACTTTTGTTTCCCTCTTAATTTCCTTTTCTTTCTTTAATATTCCTTTGCTTTGCTTTGGCTTGTTTTTTATTTTTATTTTTTTTTTTTATTTGCACTTCACTTATGATTCACATAATTTGCTTGCTTTGATTCACAGTCGCGCAATTGTTGTCGCCGCTTGAGGGCAATGGCAGCCACGGCGTATACGTAACGTAATTTGAGCGTGTTTGCTTATGTGTGTGTGTGTACTGCGTGTTTGTGTGTGTGTGTGTGTGGGAGACGAATGCAACACGTGTGGTTGTTTAAATGCCGCGCGATTGCCACACAACTCATCCGGCCGACGCACGAATTTCAACTGAAACTAAAACTGGCGACACAATTGCGAAACAGAAGTCGCCGCAACTTTCTGCCAAGCCTCCCTCCGCACGAAGTCTGCCGACGACCGAACGAAGCGAGCGAGAGAGCGAGCAAGGAAATTCGACGACAAGCAGAGAGCGGCATTTTAATTCGGCTGCTGCGTTAGATAAGAACACCAAATAAAATGATTTAAAGCCATGCTTAAATCTGAAAGTAATTTGAATAACCTGTGTATATATGAGAGCTAAACTTTCATAGTTATTACAGTATTTAAAGCTTGACCCACCATCGACATGTGTAAACTATGCCAAGAACAGCATCAAGCAGGACAACCAAAAGAGAGACACAGAGAGACAGAGAGAGAGAGCTGACCAACTTTTCTCTTTTTACTGACAAAATAATGGGAAATATGCCGCTCTCTTGTAATCAGCTGATTTAGCTGATTGCTGCATGTGCGTGTGTGTTTAAGTTGAGTCCTTTTGCATTGCATTGTAGGGGAGTGGGGGAGGTTGGAGGTTGGAGGTGAGGCATGTTTTCAAGTGCTTTGTTAATGATGTTAGTGTTTACAACGTGCCACAAGAAGGGGCTCGCATTTAATGGTCAATCTTTTGTGTGGCTGGTGGCATTAAATAAAATCGTTATTTGTGTTTATATGCGCTAATCTAATCATAATTGATTGCACTTATCGTTGAGTGCTTAAATCAAATGTGCATTTCAAAAAAATTCATTGCAAACATAAATTTGCCATGGGCCAAAACTATAAATATCTAGTTTCATTGTATATTTTTCCTTAGGTGACTTTTAATTGGCCAATAAATAATAACAATTATTTAATTCTTAACTTAGTGAATTTTGGTTTATACTTAAGTTTATTGTACAAATTCATCAAGTCTGCATTTAACTTAAGTTAATCGCTTATGCATAGCCATCAATTACTAGTATGAATAAAGCTAGGTATAGTTGATAATATTGTAAATTGATTCTTTTATTCAAATCTTCAAACAATATTAAACAAAAAAAAATGCATTACATTCCATTGCTCTATGGAAAGTTCAGACATTTAAATATTTGCGCCGCAAGCAGTATTTATCAAGCAGTACCAAGCAGTGCAGCCACAAACAAAAGCTTTTGCTCAGCAGCGTAAGCTTAGCCCGATTCGCACACCAATTTAAAAGCTTAGCCGTTGCAAGCACCGCTAGCTTTCAGATACCGAATGTGTTTGGTATTTTACGTTTTAGGCACAAAGCTGCCCGCGATTTGACAACACCGAACGACCTCCAAACAACCTTTTGACGTTTCGCTTGCCTACATTCGGCTGCCGCTTTACTTATTTCGCTTTGGAATTTCTCGTTGCCCTCGCCGAAAATAAAAGCGTCCTCAACGTGGCTCCAGTGCAGCAGCAGCAGCAGAGCCAGCCGGTAGTCAGCATCTAAGAGCGGAACATACACGAAAAAAAAACCAACACCCACACAGTTGTCCAGAGCGGTGAGTGTGCGTGTGCAAGTGTGTGATAAAAAAATAAAATATAAATACGACACAATAAAATAAGAGTAAACGTGTAATATCAGTGCATTTTATGCTCTATTCTATGTTGGTTTCGTAATCGCTTTTGCATTTGGCCTGTTAAAGCTTAACCAACGGCACAGAAAGTTCTCGTGTGTGTATGCGACTCTGTGTCTGTGTGTATGTGTGAATGTGCGTGTGAGTGTGCGTGCTTTTTCCAAACCAACTGGAATATTTCCAGCTGGAACATTTTATAGCTGCCTTTTGCCTTCTGCTTATCGTCAGCGTCGTTGACCTATGCAACTGGAATGATAAGGAAATCCGAGTAGATTGATTATTTCACTATTTTATAACGGTGGTTAGCTTGAGGTGATTACCGGTTTAACCGATTTAACCGGCTGCAGTTATACCCACCCCCATACCCCTGCCCCTTGCCTTGCCAATAGATAGGCACACGACGAGTTTTCCTTTGTATTTGTTGGCAGCGTTTCAACTGCAATTTGTAGTCGACGATTCGCTTTATAAATAGATGCCACAAGTCTTACATATAAATATGTATATATGGATAGTAATGCATGTATCTAATTATTAATTAACTACTCAATTAAATGTCGTCATCACTGTTCGTTTGTTGACTTCATCAATCGTCAGTTCCTCTGAAAAACCTTTCTTCTGCCAATAGACAAGAGCGAGATAGCTGAATGTGTATATGCCGTCTCGCTCGGATGTGAACAATTTACATATTTTGCTTAGAATTCGAAATTCCTATGACAATTGTTCGCTTTACATAAGACATAGATCCAGAAAGGGGAAGAGCGACAACGAGAGAGAAAGAGAAAGAGAGAGAAACGTGAAGAATGTGTAAAACACTTTTGAAGGGATGAAAAAAGTTTTGTGAATGAAATTGTTGTTGAAAACATTTCATTGAACGCGCAGCTTCAATTTAAAGAACAATTGCGTTCTATATCATAAAAATAATACTAAAACTTTATTTATATTTTTATTATTAGTTTTATGTATTATGTTATATACAATTCAACTATTTTCTAGCATAGAAATATAAAATAATGCCTTAAGTATAAATATATGCAAGCATTTATTTGCCAAACATATTTTTATCATCAATAGATTCAACTAAAACATATTCGAAATAATTATTTAAAGAAAAAAACTAAAATAGAATTGAGTGAAGATAATTATGCAAATGCCTGCCGAAAATAGAAATGAAAAGTCAAATTTGGTCTTCAAATCAAGTGATGCGAAAAATGAACACAAATATTATCAAATAAAAAAGTGCAATTTTTTTTGTGTATTTTTTCCGCACAGGAACACTTAATAACATCCTACATTGTAAACACTCTGCTCTCTCCGCCTCTTTCTCTCTCCCTCTTTCTTTCTCCCACTCTCTTGCTGTCCCTTTTTGACCTCAGTTTTGTTCTTTTGACTTATAGCTGGAGGCTGGACCTATTTTCTAGCTTGTCACAATAACATCCCGCACAAGTCCCACTAGAAGATAAGAAAAAGGGGGAAGGGGGCTCGACTTCTAGTTATTTCTATTATTTTCTTTTCGATTTTGTGGTTTTTGTTGCTGCTGAAGGTTAAATATTTAGCAGCTTGGCAACAGCCTCACTTAATGCTGCTTCCAAAGATTCCATAATTTTCGAAAATTTCATTTTGTTTTTGTTTTGTCGTTTATTTTTTAATTATTTCAACTTGTTTTTGTTTAGCTGCTCTTTTTCGTGAAATGTTGGGCACATGTGTCTAGTTTATTTTTATACACACACACACAAATACATTTACACATACATGTTTTTTGATAGCAGCATTAATTTTTTGTTATTTATTTTGTTGTTTTTGTCATGTGTCGGTTTTTTCTGGGTGTTGCTGCGCTTGTTTTTTTTAAATATTTATTCGCTGTGTATACTGGGCAACATTTCAGTCTTCGATCGTTTGCCGGCTCGTCAAGGTGTGTGATAACTGAGTGAATCAGCTCTATATACATATATACTATATATATCTCTGTAAAAAATTATTTTGTGTGGCGCACGTAGCTCTTTTTAGCCATATTTTTTCCGAGTAAACAAATGTATTTATTGCAATTTTATTGACTTAGAAGTTGCGGTTATAGTAATAATCAGTGCTTTAAATATTATATATATGTATATATACGTATATATAATATATATATATACGTGAAAATAGTTTACCTGCGTGATTTTCAATGTCAAACAAGTCAAGCAACATTTCTTGTATCTACATCTTTTTCTACGCCTCCCTTCAACTGCCTCCCTCTTTTTCTCTCTCCCTCTTGCACGCGCGCTGCTCGACTTTCTATTTAACCGTTTCGTAAGCAACACGTCACGTCACTAATTCACCGCCGCATTTGCCGCAACATGTTGCCTGACCTTGTTCAATGTCACAGTCTTTGGAGCATGCGTCTATGAAAGTGAAAGTGAACGTCACAAATTGTGCGGGCGACAGCCCCTCACCACACTCGCTCTCTCTCTCTCTCTCTCTCTTCACTCGACCCCTCTCTGATTTCAGCGCCTACCGGTTTGATTACATCAGTAGAGGTTGTAGTTAAATTCGCAGTCGCATCTTGGCTCAGTTGCTACAAAATCATTGTCGAGGTTGGTTAAGCAGCCGGTGCTGAAAAGAAAAAAAACAGATTTACGTCAAAGTCAAGTGACTAATACTGATTAATTAATCCAGTGTGTTGCAATATAGATATAATTGTTGTAAATTAAATTGGTGAAATGTAGTCGTTGCTTACAAGTGAATCATTTGGTCTTACGTATTTATTTCTAAATGTTGAGTTTATTAAGATTAATAAATTTTCACACATTTCACTACAACTTTTGGCGAAAGCTTTGCAGAACCGCTTGGCAACATTAGAGCTTTAATTTGGGCAACATTGTGTGTATACTAGGAACATTGGCAAGCGGAATGTTGCCAGCAGAGAAAGCACTGAAAATTGTGCTCTTTGTTTTGCACTCTCTGTAAAAACAGCTGTGCATTTAATACTTGGATTTGTGCATGTATCTGCTTATTTGTATTGGTGAATAGTAATTGGACTTTGAGACTATATTTTGTGTTATTCTTAACAAAGCCACGCACGTTGATAGTATTTTTTTTACTTATTTTAGAAGTCAACAAGCAAACATTTCGCTCTTCAATTTGGAACGACAACTTTGCAACTCGATAAAATGTTGCCAAGAGATTTAGGCTTTTTATCTATATTTGTGTTCCTTGAAAACAGCTGTGCATTTGAAAAATCGTCAAAACGTTAACAGGCAAATGATTGATGATATGCGATCAAATTTCAGTCGCTTTGTAGTATTTACCTAGACACCAGATACAAAATTAATATAAATATTTAAAATTTCCATAGAGTAGCAATAAGAGTTGCATAATTCAATTATTTTTTTTGGATTGGTGTCAAAATTCTTGGTTTAGCAACCGGAAAATGCAGTTAATAATGTTGCGAGTGCTGAATAGCGCCAATAGCCATTTGTTTTTGATTCACAATAATTCAAAGTCACAATCACAATGCGTTCCATTGCAGAATTACACGCGAATCTCAAAGATGACCACCTACTTCAACTATCCCAGCAAGGAGCTGCAGGAGGAGCTCAAGAGCATTGCCCAGAAGATTGTTGCCCCCGGCAAGGGCATCCTCGCCGCCGATGAGTCCGTCTCGACGATGGGCAAGCGCCTGAGCGACATTGGAGTGGAGAACACCGAAGAGCATCGTCGTGCCTATCGCCAGCTGCTGTTCACCGCCGATGATAAGCTCGCGGAGAACATCTCCGGCGTGATTCTGTTCGATGAGACGGTTTACCAGAAGGCCGATGACGGCACCAGCTTCATCCAGCTGTTGAGGAAGAAGGGCATCATTCCCGGCATCAAGGTCGACACCGGCGTTGTCCCACTGATGGGCTCCGAGGACGAATCGACCACCCAGGGCTTGGATGATCTGGCCAAGCGTTGCGCCAAGTACAAGAAGGAGGGATGCGATTTCGCCAAGTGGCGTTGCGTCCTCAAGATTGGCAAGAACACCCCCTCTTACCAGTCCATTCTCGAGAACGCCAATGTGCTGGCCCGCTACGCCTCCATCTGCCAGTCGGAGCGCATCGTTCCCATTGTGGAGCCCGAGGTGCTGCCCGATGGTGAGCACGATCTGGTTCGCGCCCAGAAGGTGACCGAAACCGTTCTCGCTGCCGTCTACAAGGCCCTCAGCGATCACCATGTCTTCTTGGAGGGCACCCTACTCAAGCCCAACATGGTCACAGCCGGCCAGAGCGCCAAGAAGAACACCCCCGAGGAGATCGCCCTCGCCACCGTCACGGCTCTCCGCCGCACTGTCCCCTCTGCCGTTCCCGGTAAGAAATAAGGGTACTCACTTTGCTTGTTTCACATTTACTAATACATGTTTAAATGTTGTCTGCAGGTGTGACCTTCCTGTCTGGTGGTCAGTCTGAGGAGGAGGCCACCGTCAACTTGAGCGCCATCAACTCTGTTCCTCTGACCCGCCCATGGGCCCTGACCTTCTCGTACGGTCGCGCCCTGCAGGCCTCCGTTCTGCGCGCCTGGGGCGGCAAGAAGGAGAACATTGCCGCCGGCCAGGGCGAGCTTCTCAAGCGCGCCAGGGTAAGTTATCCACATAAACATATACATATATATATAGTATATAAATGGAGTTTTGGGTCTAGTACTATTGCTCTTGGGTCTTGGGTCTAGATTTAAGTGGCTGGGCTTGTGGTTAGGTTATAAATTTAAATTAACTCATCACAATACTCATGAACCTCACTCATCCAGGCCAATGGATTAGCGTCCTTTGGTTGCTATGAAGCTGGCTCCGTCAAAGGCGCTGCCGGCGATACAGGACTCCATGTTGCCGATCATAAATACTAAAGTCGGTTGCAGGAAATCCTAACTGTATATCATACTCAATACCCTCGGATGCATGCACCAACGAATAAGTGGCTCAAAGGCTAATCTGAAATTGAAACGTGATCAAGTCCTATTTCTCAAGCAATGCGAAATATGTCAAATGAGCATTCCATATCCGATCCACATGCATCTCACAATTTGTAAACCTGGTTTGCTGCACAAGGAATTTCAGTGTTTCATAATTTGTAAATTTAATTTTTTTTTATCCCAATCTCCAACTAAAACAATGCTTTTCTGTATTTGTATCTGTATATTAATCATAAAGCTACTAATCGTATGTTGTGCTTACATTTTTATTTCCTTAATATTATTATTAATAGAAGTTTGTAATTTCTTGCATTGCTTGACTTGTTTTGCTTACAATAATGTTGACTAACCAATAATGCTGCAAAGTAAATCGATCTTTTAAAAGTTAAAACCATTTATAATTTTTGTCATTTTCCACTTGTTTTTATTTCAAATCTAAACAATTTTTGTTTACTACAAATTTACTCAACGCTTTGATTCCAAGTTTGCTAAATAATTGATAAATTAATAAATAAATTTTTTTTTCCATTTTTATTATATTAATATATATTTATTGTTTTTAGTCATTAATAAATATTCATTTGGCTTTTTATTTAACTCATACTTTCAACTGCTTCATTAACTATTCAATTGTCGCTATTTTAAGCTCACATTTAACAATCAATTTGATTAACTATTAATTGCACGCTCGTTTTACCGCTTAGCCATTTATTTATTATTTTTAAATCATTATGCACGCATTTGTTTGTATTAATCCTAAACCAATTCCCGCTTTCCCTTTCTGTTTATTTACCTATTGATCCACAACCAGGCCAATGGACTGGCTTGCCAAGGCAAATACGTGGCTGGTTCGATTCCCTCGTTCGCTGGCAATACCAGTCTGTTTGTTGCACAGCACAAGTACTAAAAAAAAAAAATCAAATAGAAAACACTGTTCCAGTAGCTGCACGTGCAACTTGTCAAATAATCTAACGGCTGCAGTCTTAATCCAATTGGCTTACCTGTGCTGAGAGCAAACACCAACCCCAAAACAAAAAACACACATTCCTCACAGCAACACCTGAAATGGAGTTCTACATTTACCGCATACACACATAGACATACAACTAGAGTTCTAATAATAAAACCTACAAAAAAATCTTCAAATTATTATTTTTTGACTTGAGCTTAAAACTTAATTAATTATTTACTAAGCTCGAATAAAAATGTGTTGAAAAATTGAATTAGAGTTGTAAGCATTATGGAAACCATTGCATTTATTTATCGGAACAAAGGCAGCACTTGAATACTACATGAAATGTGTCAAAAATCCAACTGTTTTATTTTAATTTAATTTTGTATATAAAATTGTTTCAATTGACCGAATTTGAAATTATATAAAAAAAAATGAGACGCCTCTGACAACCTTTAGTTATGTAAGCCGAACAAATTGCAGCATGGCTTTAATGAATTAACTGGCCACAGACACACAGAGAGAAAGAGATAGAGAGAGCTGTATATAATTAATGGAATTACGTGCAGGGTCAGCTCGAAATTGGCCTCCGGCCTTTGTAAAGAAGCAAAAAATGGGTCTTTTTGGATCCTTTGTGCCGGTAACACAGTTTCAGCGCAATTAACCATAATCGAATAAACTTTTCGCTCAAAAGACTTGTAAATTTAATTTACAAAAAAAAAAAAAAAAAAAAAACAGAAAAGAAAAAAAAAGTTTGACAACATGTGGGTGGTGTGGGATTTGTGCAGGGGGAGTGAGTGAAAAGTTTGAAAAATTGCCGCAGGTAAGGTGCGGGTAAAGATTAAGTTTACAGTTCAGTGAGCCATGCCAGAAATCGCAGAGCAGAAACTTGAGCATTTTCTGGTGGGCACAAAGCGAATGTAAAGGAAATTGTCTGTTTTGAGCGATATTTTTAGCACGATTCAAATGAAAAATTGTAAATTAATTAACGTTTCTCCTCTCATGTTCTCTTTTTTTTCCCCTCAGGCTAACGGTGAGGCCTCTTTGGGCAAATACGTTGCTGGCAGCGCTGGCGCTGGTTCCGGCTCTCTGTTCATTGCCAACCACGCCTACTAAGGCGGCAGCAGCAGCAGCGCCAACGTAGCAGATAATAAAAAACGCAAATTGCTGGAAAAATCATAACTTTTTCCACGCAATTTTCATTATTTATTTTCTAAGTTACAAACAAGCAAAGAGCTAAAAAGCATGCAAAAAAAAAAAAACAAAAAAAAAACTAGAATGTTTGAAAAAAAAAAAATGAAAAATTATGTTTATTGAGACGCAAATTTACTTTTAGTTCTAAGCACAAAACAAAACACATACAAAAAAAAAAAAAAATGTTGAAGTTATGCAAATTATATACATTATGATTATTCTGATGTTTATGAATATTATGTAATTTCAATGTTCGTAATTCACTTGCTTGAGCAATGTCGTAAATCGTAAAGGCGAGAAAAATGATAAAACTAAAACAAAAACAAAAACAAAACAAAACAAACCACTTCAAAGATTTTAAACATTGAAATCATATGAGTTTCTTACGTTTCTATTTATCCATAAATTTTTTGCAATGTTTGTATACAAAAAGCAATGAGAAAATGTTTTTCTTTTTATAATTATTATTATTACACTTTATATTTATGATTATTATTATAATTATAAGTGAAAAAAATGACGCAAATAAACAAACACAATACAAAATAATAATAAAAAACAAAAACCAAAACGAGAAACCAACAACAAAGCAACAAATCTATAACACATATATATATATATATATATATATTTAATATATATATATATATCAGCCGAAATGAGCTGATATGCATATACATACATACGTTAATTATGAAACATTGTTATTGCTAAAAAGCAGAAATTATTAACAAATCAACTATTAACAATAATAATAAGTTCTTAGCATGGTGACTTCACAACTGTATTTGACACATATTTATTGCAAAACTGTGCAAAAATGGGGCACTCGAGTTTGCAGCTTATTATTAAACATATATAAATATTCATACATACTAAATATCGATAGCCGACGAGAATTCATCTCTTGGTTCGTTTGGATGCATCATGCACATGCAGCAACATTAATTTGAAAAGAGAAACCAACAAAGCAACCAAATCAACTAACCCCATATATACCTATTCTATATATTTATGATTCTTATTATTATTATTACTATTATTATGTGTTATTCAAATTTCTATATATTATATATTTCTGCATATCGTTGTTACTCCCAAACATTTTAGATGCAAACAATGCATATACATAATATTACAAGTATAAGCAACTAATTATGATTTTAGAAAAGAGCATAGCAACAAAAATGAATGAAAAAAAAATGAAAAATGAAAAATGAAAAATGTTGAAATGGTATCTCACATTTTTTATGACAACCTGAAATCCTGAAAGCGAAACGTACAATAACAACACATATAAGAACACCAAACAGCATGTTTCACTCATCCTTTAGCTGAAATACAGAGAAAATTCGACAGCAACAACAAAAAACAAAAAACTTATCAAATAAGGCATTTGAAGCGAACATCATTCAATAAAAACGAAACCTTATAAGAGAGCAAAAATACCAAACGCATCTTTTTACTTATCATTGAGCTGCACATAACTGCCGCTCATCGAAAATACTGTTGCATACAGCAGGGCAACACTTACAACGTTTGCAATACTGTTTTACAGTTTGGCAGCCACCAAACTATGTGTGGCGCGGCACCTATTTGAATATTAGCCTCAGAAACTAAAATGCTTTTCAAATATTGATTTATGCTTAGCAAACTGAATTAAATTGGGATGCTTTAAAATATATTTGATGTAGCTTGAAATTTAATGTATCTTTTAAATAAACCAAGTTTCAAAAAAGTTATTTCATTTGAACATTATTAATTAGTTGAAGTAAGAATATTCTAGTCGAAAGAACTTGCATCGGAGGCACTCTAAACTGCAGCTGTAATATATATTAAATGTTTTCTACATAGTCATGTATACTTAGGCTTGCAGATATTAGTTTTTTCAATATGACAATATATTTTGGTGGGTAAAGTTTGAGTTTCTTTTCCGATATTAAAATTATACGTTATGCATGAATGAGTTTATCAATAATGAATCAGGGTATAATATATAACAATTGGAAAGCTATATTTTTACACTTGTGTCTTTTACTGCAGTTGATGCTGATCAAAAAGTATATACATTTCAAATTATATAATTAATGTTGCCGAATATACTTAGTTCTGCCTATTAAATACTTTTACAAAATTGGGGTTTAAACTCTCTTTCCATTTTTACCATAAATCGGGTCACATAACTATTTGGATATATATATAAAAAACTATACATTTATTCTATCATAAAACTTCACAATTAATAAATGAAGAACGCAGATGCCTTTCTTTAAGATTGCTAATGACCTAAACAATAGCAGAGCGGCTGGCGCTAATTTAAATAAAAACAAAAATATAAATACTTAAAATTTGCACTTATGCGTAATGATAATAAACATTTGTGGATTATTAATATATATATATCTATATATTTAGAGCACTTTCGACCATAAATAGTGATTCTTTATCGACCAGTACATTCCTCCTTTTTTTGGGGGATTATATTAGGAGTTATTCGATTTAAATTTTAGCACGAAATCATTTGAACTAGTTGTTCGGAGACATGAGAAAAATCTAAATTGGGTTCAAATTAAATAAATTGGTTACAGGGAATCTGTTGTTCTTCGCATAGTGAATATATACAATTTTTCCTGGCAGCTGATATCCACAACGATTAAACAGAAAATGTTGCCAAATCGTTTTGAATTCTTTTCTGAGTATTTTTAGCAATAATTAAAACAAAAAACCATTTCCGATTAATTTTTGCAATTGTTGCTGTAGCTATTGTTTCCTGTTGCCTTTTTTCACTTCGAGAACATCATCGATTTCCCATATCTATTTGTAATTTCATTTAAATGAAATGTTTGCACGATACCCGCACTTTATTGGCACACAACTGTCGGTTTTCAGACATCGTATCTGTTATTTTATCAGAAATTCATACAGTCGAGATATGCTGACACGCATTGCCTGACTTTTAATGTACTTAACCAGCGGTTCAAATTCAAGTCGATGAAAGAACACAACAGAGAAATCAGTGAATGCACTTTAATCAAACCTAAGACTTCTCGAATTGTATTTTCTTTTATTTTTGGACCCATCTTCTGCCATTTTAATTTACAATTTCCTTCATTGCAGATGCAAATGTAAACAGACGAAAAGGCAATGTAATCTGTCCAATGATCCGCAATTCGTTGTACATTCAATTTTCTCTTGATGTTGTTGATTTTGTTGTTGTTGCTCTTGCTGCCATGTCTGCAGCTGCATTGAGGGCAAAGTTTTTTTAATCAATACCAAACAAAATGCGCAAGGGCAGAGCCAGCAAGAGATAGAGATACAGAGATGAGAGAGACACAGCAACAGACATGGCGACGACACTCAAAAGCCGCGACAAAGGCTACTTCGATGCCTGACGCCCATATTTGACCACATCACATGGTGAATGGAATCGTGTTTCTTTTTTTAAACACTTTCGCAACGTAAAATTTGAGTAAAGTAAAGAAAAAAGAAATGCTCTTTTTTTAGGCGTTTACGCAGCTTGAAAAGTTGAAACAACAAGATTGTCTTAGCCTAATATTTAATTTAAACTCATTGTTTTACTACGGGATTTCTATTTATTATTTATGTGTTAAGTCATCAATCAGTTTTTTTTTAGATTAAATAATACAATACTTCTTTCTCATCAGCAATTTAAGAGTATTTGCATTTCGTCACCTCATAAGCCGCATATAATTTGTTCACTTTTGATGTTTTATTATTGTTGCTGTGGTTGCTTTTGGTGTCTTCTTAATGAACATCATTCATATGCGTTTTGGACGGTTATTGCAAGCGCAATAAATTATTTAAATGACTTTATGAGCCATTATAATACAACTCAATTTGTGTAATTTGCTTTGATTAATCTCGCCGTGTTTAATCGGGTCAATGCATTGCGCATAATTCAAATCTATTCGGGACAAATGTTCAAATTCAATTTGAATATTATTGCTGATGGTTTTCCGTTTCCAGATAAATTTAATTTATTTCCGACCTTTATTGTGTTGAGTTTGTTAAATGTTTGTTAGAATTGGAAATCTGTACAAATAACTAAAGACCGCATTCACAAGCTGTCACTTGCACGGCTAATGGCAAATGGACAAATTTCGGTTCATCAGCTGCAATTGCACAATGCGAATGCCACAAAAAGCGGGTTAGTTGAATGTTTCTCATGCTGCTGGTGGGTGCAGACAACAATGCGCTAATGTCAACATTTCCGTTACCAATGCCAGTTCCTGGTGATGGTGGTGGTGGTGGTGTTGCTGCTGCTGCTGCTTCTGCTGCACAAAGATTGTCCACATAGTGGAATTAATTGTATTTGCATAGCATGTAAACATCATCACTTTTGCTGTCAGGGTTCCGCTTGGCCAGGACCTTTAGTTGCTGCCATTGTCGTTGCCATTTTGTACGTTTGAAAGCTCTGCACCCATTCGGTATGGCATTTGCTATCTGACGGTGGCATGAAAAGCACGTCATTGTATCCTTTGGCTTCCTGTGGCTCCACTGCGATCCGGGCGTGTATTTTGAGCTGCCAGTTGCTGATTACGCGCCACGTTCACACATATAAGCACACACACAACCAACACAAACACACACATCGAATAACATGTCATAGCATCAACGAGGAAGTGGATGTGAACTCGCTGCAAAATGTTGCGACATCAACGTTTTGAGGCGGAAATTGACACGTCGTCTGACACACACAGGGTATGCTTAAGTCAAAACTCATTTACGAGAGCGACAGAGAGAGAGAGAATGAGAGAGAGCGAGTGAGAGTGAGAGAGAGAGCGAGTGAGAGTTGGTGAGAGAGAGAGAGATTGAAAGTTGGGGTGACTGCTTGATTGCTTCTTGCATAATTTAAACTGTAAAAGCGTTTGGCGGTACGCCAATTAGGCATCTTCTTGCTAAGTCAATCGATTGAAAACCATTTTATGTCCTGCATTAAATCCATATACGTAATGCTATGTTATGTTAAGTTAATTTCCTTGCTAGCCTCAAGTTACGTGACCAGACTTGACACCTTATCATTAGAGACAATTACACACACACACACACACACACACACACACACATGGCACACACGCAGAATGCCCAGCTGTATATAATTGTAACGGTAATTACAAATACAAGCTATTTGTGTGTTCTCTCACAAGCACTTTCTAATTAGCTGCCCAAGCCACACAGACTTCGAAAAGCACAGCTGAAAGCTTGTTTGCCGCCAACGCAGCACAAATTGACAACGCCTCGCATGTTGCCTCATTTGACAGCCGTGTGTTACACGGTTTTTTTTTTTTTTTCAACTGTCCACTGAGTGCTACGCCCGCAATTCCTTCAATTGAAATGCGAGCTATGTCAAATGTAGCGTTGCTTGGCAGCTAAGGTGCTGAATCAGCTAATCACTGATTAAGTAATCGAAATACAAAGCTGAACCTAAGTTATCAGCTAGCAAAATTTTCCAATTAGAGCTGCATGCTACTAATGCTTGATTTAGCCACAACAATCACAGATAAATCAAACTATAGAATTGTGGAACTGATTGTAGCTAAGCTGGAATTGTGAATGAATATAATTGAA